AAAGCATTAAATATAAATCGATAACAGATACAAAATCTTTAATTTTTTATAGTATTATTATTTTTCCCAATTTGTAAATATTAAACATCCATATTACTCGTTCCAAATGAAACGGATCAAGTTTTGGAAACTCCGTTAATTCACTTAAATTTTTTAAAATTTTAATTATCTTAAATATAACTTAATTTTAATTAAACAAGTTATACGAAAAAACGAGTATCTTGTTCACAACTTTATTTATACGTAAGTATATTATCATACTCATATGTTTTTTATATTATAAAGTATTTATGTCATATTCTTGCATACTTTTATATTCAAATTTACACCATATTATTGTATATGTACAACTTTTTAAAGCTCTATTTTTGCACTCTACAAAAGTAACTAATAAACATGTTCAATTACCAGATAAACATCGAGTCCAACTAGTATGCCAAAACGTCACATAAAACTGATAACCAATCGGAAACACACACACACACACACACACTCTCTCTCTCTCTCTCTATATATATATATATATATAGAGAGAGAGAGAGAAAGAAAGAGAGGTTGGTTATTACACAACCCTTTACATTTGTACAACCAATACAACTTAATTTCAACCGTCCATTTAATTTGATGAATATGTAATTTCATAGAAGTTTTGATTGTTTTCTAATATAAAATATTGATCATAATTAATGAACCATATTCATCTTCCATAAATATTTAAATCATAATAAATGAACTCTCATCATTTTAATAAATATTTTAATTTATTGGGTTGCATTGGTTGTACAAATGCGATGAGTTGCATTTGAAACAAACTCTCTTTCTCTCTCTCTCTCTCTCTCTCTCTATATATATATATATATATATATAAGGTATATTTCAAATGCAACCATGTCTATTTGTATAACCAATGCAATCCAATTAATTGAGATATTTATACAAATAATGAAAGTTCATTTATTATGATCTGAATATTTATAGAAGATGACTATAGTTCATTAATTATGATCAATATTTTATATTAGGAAATAACAAAAGCTTTTATGAAATCACATATTTATCAAATTAAATGGACGGTTGAGATTGAGTTGTACAAATGTTAAGGGTTGCATAATAACTCACACACACACACACACACACACACATATATATATATATATATATAACAAATGATAAAGCAGACACTTTATAACAGGGATGAATTCACGTGAGACCAACCTATTTTCATGAGACCATTTTTTTACATTTGAAATTTCTCAATAAAACGCCGTGAACAAATAAAAATAGCATTTTCAACCATATCTATTATAAGAACCCAAATAAAAATAGCCTACACCATTAAATAGAGGGGTTGACTTGTTGACCCATGAACAAAATTCCAAAAAAAATGGATTGACCAATCAACATTAATATACACAAACATCAAAATATCTTGTTGGACTTAAAACATGGTTATCTACAAAAACAAGATTGCCCAAAAATGAACATCCCACCAAATTAAGCCATGAAGGCTTCTACTTTGCCTCTTTTTCTTTGTTTGGGTTTTTTAGGGGTTGTTTGTGGGGATAAAGTGTTTTACAAACTCGTGTTTTTAAATTATAGGTGGAAAATAACTGGATCTGAATACAGTCTGAAGTTGGACGGGTCTGTTTGATGATTCGTCCATTTTAGCTTTTAGCAAAAACAGTGGAGTCTGATTGGTTTGAGCTTGGCTCCAAAGGTCAAAAGTACCAGGAGGTCTCATGTTCAAATTCAAGAATAAATAAAAATCTCCTTGTGGCCACGAATGTTCAAATGCGGTGACTCCGGGATATCTGCAAAGCAGGTGGTCGCTCTGGGACCAGTCGGCTCGCATAGTGGGTTGGATATCTAGGTTAATAATAAAAAAATAAAAAAAACAGTGGAGTCTGGTTGTTTGGTCTTAGTCGATCATTAATTCGTTGTCGTGGTAGTTTGGTCTTTCTTTCTTTAAGTTTTAGCAACTAGATGAGTCTTATATTGGTATAAGAACGTCTTTAGATCCAAGATAACAAATGTAATATTTCTATATTATTGCTATAACAGAACGAATTTATGTAATTGAATCACTGATATACAGTTCACAAAAAGTTTTTTTTGCTGTGTTGCATACCTGTTATGTTTAATGGAAACAGACAAAGGTTGGTTCCATGATTTTGTGACATGGAAACTCTTGGTTGATCATGAAGGTTGTGGGGCAGAGCAAAGATGGCGACCCGAAGGTGGTTGTGGGTTTGGCAGGGCTATGACTCGTGATGAGGAGAGGTAACGTAGCCATTGAGGTCGGGTTCGACAATGGCAACAGATGAGATTGCAAGAGTTTGTCGTTTGCTAGGGTTTACTGTCTCTCCTTATCTGTTATTCGTATTATGGGATATGAATAACAGTTCACCAATTTATGATAGTCATAAATTTATTAATCTTGAAAGGATATTTTGTTTCCGATTAGTTATGATATCTAACTAATCAGTGACGGACCAACAGTAGAGAATACGGTGGCACGTGCCACCGTATTATTCCTCCGTTGAAGCGTAAAAAAATTTAGGTTCGTAAAAGGTACAACCGTATTAATTTGTTGTGTGCCACCGTATGTATTTTGAAACTACAATGATAACAAGTTTTATTTGGTAGAGTTGGTTTGCAAGACTTTTATTCCACCCCAAACCCAAATTCAAATCATGTTAGTGTCATTTTCTTAACCAAATGGTGCCACCGTTTGAACTTTTTTTGGGTCCATCCCTGATTCCTACCTTTAAGTATAATGAGACCAAAACAGTAAAGAATTGTAAACGATAAGGATCGAAATAATAATAAATTTTAATCATAAAAATAAAAATAACAATAAATTATAAACTATAGAGACGAAAACCACAATCTATAAACCACTTAAAAAATGGAATAAAAGTTGGTACGAAAATAATATGATTTAAATATATTTTGAAATGGAGGCTCTAAGACGTTGCAAGGGGCAATGGCATTGAGGGAAGCTAGTTTCCCAATGGCCAATACGTAAAGCAACAAATTAAATAAAAATAAAAATAAAAATAAAAATAAAATTAAATCGTATCTTTCAGTTTTATTAGGAAGATTCTGTAAATTCGTTACCTGCAAATCAAATCCCGATGCAGATGCCACGATTCCCTCGCTCTCCATGTTACTGCTCATCTTCACCCCCTCCAACCTCAACCTCTCTATGCTTTACTATTTTTATATAACATACATATATATTATATATAACATATATAGGGTTGGGTTCACGTGAGACCAAAGGTTTTTTGTGAGACCCGTAAGACCAATTTATGTTCATTGATCAACTTTGTAAGTTAATGATCTAATGGTCTAAAGTTGTACAGTGACAATTTTATGATTATTGAGAAGTCTCGTGGTGTTTATGAATGTTCAGATTGTCATATCGTAGATCTAATCCAAGAGTTGAGAATTGATCTTATATATATATATATATATATATATATATATATAAGTTAAAACGAGAATGCTGACTAATTAAAAAACAAGAAAAAAGTAAAACATGAGCCATTTATTAAATGCTTATCAAGTCATCTCACTTTATCAGATGAACATGGTAAGTACTAATAATCTTATCCGATAAAAACAATGACAAAGATCGAGAGTCTTATTCGGTAAGTGAATGTGTCAACTTTTATCCTGTTAGTACTTACTGGGTAATTGTTGCATATGATGTCGTTTTGATAGACAAAAAATTTATCTAATCAGATAAGTAATAGTGTTGAACCTTATTGGTGTTTAGGTAAATAGCCCAAATGACTTTTATCTTAAGATATTGTTTCATATGAATTTTCTGCCTATCTATAACAAAGATTGAAAGATATTGATTAACATATATCTAATTTACAGTATATTTGTTTTCATATGTATTAGATTCACAATGTGAAAACCTTTTTACGTTCATTTTTGATTTTACAAACAAATATAAATTATTTACATTGTAAAACAAACATATGTAATCAGATTCTCAAATCCTAGCATTAGATAACATGTAGAAGAATAACGCATAATACACCTATTTTCAAAGTTTTCACAATTTTATAGATTTTTAAATGGTTAGCTCCCAATATCTAACACTTAGAATTATGAAACACCAGTTTTTGTAGGTTTTATTTTTGTTACAATTGTTTTCTCGTAAAACAAGTCGTGTTTTCACGTAACGAAATCCAAACAACCATCGATTCAATTGCATACCGGAGGGCATCACTAATCCTAGGGTTTTTATAAATCACCCCCCCTCCCCAATTTGTTACAAAACAAATCATTATCTAGCATTTGGTAGACTTGGTCAACCTAGGGCTGCCTCCGGTCACAGAAGTGGGACTGGAACCAGTAAAGACCAATCTATTAAGTCGAGGCCTGCTTTTAGGAGACCTGTGACATCAAACCCTAACAGTTACTCGTTTTCAATGAAATATCAGACAAAAGAATTGGTTACACACAGAGAACAACCCTAACTGGACCCGGTTAAAAACCGACTTTTGGCCATTTCTAGTATCAAACCAAACACCATCAATGATCTTCATTTTCATTCTCCACCCATGTTCCCCTTAACCTAGAAAACAGGATGTTATAATTATAACCAAAATCAAACATAGCTCAAACACATTTTGGTACAATTTCAACACTAAGGGGATGATTGTTCGGTTTTCCATGTAGTCCTTTATGGATAAAACCGTCTCTGTGGATTAATGTCTGTAGAAATTGAAAAGTTTTTATTTGGAAGGTTTTTTTTTATAGATGGAAGGAGTGTGTTTTTATTGGGAGAAAGAAGTTTGGAAAAAAAACTCGGCTTTCTGCATAAAGCTCTCCCCCTAAAACCTTCCTAAATAAGTCACTTTCTATATAATTAAGCCACTAACAAACAGACATGTATAGCTGACCGAACAAGTTACGAGTCCTATTAAGCTACTAATAGACACTAAAAATAGGATAATCCACGTCATCAATAATATCTCCATTTGCAACCATGTGCAAAGGTCAACGTCAACCAACTTATAATAACAAGGTTTCTTTTCAACCAAATCGCTGTTTCCCACTAATGGGATTAGATACAAATCAATTCAACATATTAATTGGGGTGCAATAATTCCATAGAATTTCAAGCCCATCAAGGCTTTTATAATTTGTAAGATGTGTTGATGGATGATCTAATGTTATATAGCAAAGCAAGAAATGGACATGTATCGAGCAGACTAACCGGAAGTTCTGTCGCCACCGAAACCCGAATCTAAGTAGTTGGCGCCATTCAGATGACCGACATCTCCCCACACCTTGATGTCCCATTTGTCCGGATCCGATAAGTGAAATACATTGACTGATACGTTCAGTATCCTTCCTGCTCGGCGTCCGTTTCCGAGAGAAGCCCGCTGGTGGAGTGCTCTGATCACACCACCGTGAGTCACCACCACCACCCGCTCTCCTGTGAAAAGTTGCAATATGTGTAGTGGTAAAAAAAATTATACAACTTTTGTATGGTTGCAACTTGCAACCATGGCTAATCTAAGTGAGAAAAATGGAGACAAACCCACTATATCCCACATAGAGGTAGGGTCGGCTATTACCCCTTTCCTGTTCCTCCAATTATCGACATGTGTAAGGGTATTTGGCCAACACGAAACTATCAGCGGAGGTTAAGTAAATGCAGGGGGTGCATATATAAATTAAACGGTAGGAGAGAAAAAGGTGACCTGTGGACGTCTTATTGGAGGGACATGAACCGATGAAAGGAACTGGGAAGGAGTAGCAGGAGATTTACCCCCCCCCCCCCCCCCCCCCCCCCCAAGTTGGGGATTGGGGTAAACATGCAGATCATGCCTGCCTCTACCCCGAGCGGTAGAAAGGCTGTATCCACGTAGACGCTCAACATGCAGAAAAAATAATTACACCAAGTGCGAAAAAGTAGCAGAGAAGTGTGTGTAATCAAGCAACAAATGCAGTCAGCAAAAAGGATGGCAGGAACACATGTGAGGGACATAAGTTTAAAACAAACAAAAGGATCCGAAACGCAGTATTGACTACTACTAGAGAAAAAAGTAAGACCACAATACAGTGAAAGCAGAAAAAACTAAGGGGCCGTTTACCAAACTCTGACCGGGTTAGCGCTTACCGCGTAAAAGACGCTTACCGCAAATCCATTTTGATGGTTGAGAATATAACCCGATAAGGTAAGTGAGGTGATGATTCTTGCCGTTAAGCATTTGGTAAACGGCCCCTAAGACTGTCAACCGCCTAATTTATACATTCTAAATTAGTACCTCGGTGTTTACTGGCAATTGTTTGCAACGAAGCTGTGCATCGTTCATAGAGTTGATTCAGACTTTCACCACCACCCTATGTAAACAACAAACTTGTGAATGATCTCTTTTTATTTTTCTTTGCCAATCAAATTAATCAGCGGTGAAGTGTTTTTTATGGATAATGACTCCATGGCACTTACTGGAATTTCAACGTCCTTCCTGTGAGACTGAAGAGCTTCATATGCCTTGGTTTTGATTTTGGGTGCTTCACTATATACAAGACCTTGAAGATCACCTAAATGTCTCTCTCGAAGGTTTGGATCTTGAATTACCTGACATAGGAACATGACAAAGTGGCCATGCCGATTTAAAATGTTAAAAATAAAGCTTTTTTTCCAACCACAAGGTTCCATTTTTGTTTTTCCATTCATGACTATCAAGGTATCAAAAACCTACATACTCGTCATGAGTAGACAAATCCATGCCCGCAACCTTGAGGTTTAAGCTCAACTGGCAAATAAAGGCTAGGTCTTGGGGATCTTCCCCATAGGTCGGCAATTTGAGTCTCCTCAAGGGCACTTGGGATTTTCCTTACTGTATTTTCAGGGTCTCATGGGATTAGTCGAGGTGCGCACAAGCCTGCACATCACTATGAAGATAATTTTGCACTGTTATGATTATTCAAATGCACTACTTAAATCTCGATCAGCAACTCCAAGTGACCCTATAGTATGCTATGTAACTAAGGGGCTGTTTGGTTGGTTTTCCATTAAGTCATGTATGGATAAAGCTCTGTGTGGATTATCTGTCTAATATAGATTGTGAAGGTTTTTGTTTGAGAGGGTTTTTTGATGGATGGAAGAAACATGTTTTTTAATTGGGAAAGACAGGTTTGAAAAAAACTTGGCTTTCTGCATAAAGCTTCCCCCTAAAAGCTTACTGAATAAGCCACTTTCTATATCATTCAGCCAGTATCAAACAGTCATGTATAGCTGACGGAATAAGCAGTAAGTCTCATTAAGCTCATTAAGCTGCTAACAAACAGGCCCTAATTGGATCAACCATGCTGGTAATCAGCTAGATATTTAATGAACCTACTAGTACTGTTTGCATAGCATTATACACTTCATCTTAAACGTGGCTAACCCAATTAAAGATCTACAGATATTTGGATTTGTAATTCCCTATTCTACAAATGTCTTTTAGCCAACAAGGTCTTAGGGATGACATCATATGCTACATTTGAAAGCGAAATACCTACCATGCTTGGTCATTTGCACTAATTTCTATGATGTGCAAGGCCTTTTTGCGAAAAACATAATACTTCTATTTTATTCCCTCCACCTGAAACTAAGTGTCCACATGTTTAGTTTGTCACTTTGTCCTTAAGTAAGTGTCAAAATTTCAAAAGCAGGCGCCTACTTTCCAAGTCTACCCTTAATTATGAGATTGAAAAAGTCATTGCTACCTCTGTTAACAAAGGCAAAACTGTCATTTAATTAATTAAAAAGTGTAATAATCACACATTTCTAAAACAGTGTGCCTTTTTCTTCATGGAGATTTATTTTGGGAAAGAGGGAGTATGTCATTTGCACTCATTTGTAGAAATGCCAGACCTTTTCCAAAATATAATATACTTTCTACTGTATCTACCTTTAGATCATAAAACAAAGACAGGATATTTGTGTTTTCTCCATCCCCAACTCTCTTTTCCATATCTCCAGATCAGGGTCGTCCATCTCCAGGTACATCTTTCCTAGATTTAGGGGTGTAATGGAAGAAGATGTATATCAAAAAGGAAAAGACCCGAGTTCTTTTTCATAGTTTTAAACCCCACCCAACCCAAACTCCCATCTATCAACTACAAGGCAAATCATTATACATATCACCTCCAACAGCGCTTTAATGCTCTTCTATCAGTCTAATGAACTATGTATGCAGAGAAATATTGATGATTATTAGAATCATACCTCAAGGCCCCCACATCTGCTTGCAATCGTCTGGGCAGTTTCAAGAGCTCTTTTCAGGTCAGAAGAGTATATGGCAGAAATGTTGGACTCCCCAGATAACCTTTCAGCCACCTCCAACAAGATCATACATATGTGTTACTGATGTTAACGAATTAATAACAAAAATTATCAAGATACAAGTGTTCTTTTTGTTGATAATAATATAATGATATAAAAAGGTGCAACCCATGTACATTGGATGCCGAAACACAAACTAAACCTAGCAAATATCCACCCAGTCACCAAATTAGCACACAATTACCCTAGCATCAAAAGATATAAGATGTAACTTACTGCAACTGCTTGCTGTCTTCCGACATCATTCAGGTCAATATCTAAATGTCCCTGGTCAACATAAAGGATGAAAATTAGAAGCAACATGAAAGCTCATAGGAACAACATTTTGACACGAGAAAGAGAATTTTAAACCAAATCAGATTCATGGAGACAGAATTAGAAGCATTCACTGAAACTTCCTAGATGAGCAAGGTGATATGTAAATTTATTCCTGCCCGTATTTTCGGATTATCTGACGGTTTTGAAAACGAATAATAAATGTTAGATGAGTTGCTTGTGAATGTAGCAAGATAACCACACTGACAATGCCATAACAACTTTTTGATTTACTTAACTCCTATTAACCATGGAAGCATAATTGTATCTGGCAAAATTCCTCAGTTGCTGGCTTAGCATGTGATGCATTTAAAAGAGTGCTAAATCTACCAGTTTGATAGTCAAATTGGCAACTGATACTGTCGAAATGTTACAAGAACTGAAGAGGTTATGTGACAAGAGTTGATATTTTAGGGAAACAAGGTTGTATGATGGTTGAGAAATGCACCTTGCAGCCTCTCACTTTTGTCTGTTAAGCATGAATGGTCAGATATTACTTGAATATTAAAGTGAAAATCATCCAAGGGATACCACCTAATCCAAAAGCGTATATTGTTGATCTATTGGAAAAGGAAGGAGTCATGATGTAAAGCCTCTTTGTTTGCCTTTGGGTCTCTGATAACACCAAGCCTCTTCAGAAATATTTTTGGAAGAAAAAGGTGAACCTGTTGTTTCTAGCAGCTTAATGGACAAAGAAGAGAACTAGTCCTTGCTATTGCTAACTGTCAAATGGGTGAACAAGAAACCAAGTCTTTGCGGTGTGTCAAGATATGGCTGAAGCACTTACCTATCATCTCTTGTCCCTTAATTCTAGCATTTTTCTGTTTGATGAAGCTCCCGTATATTAAGTATACATAATGCCATATTGGTCTGTGAATCTGATTTAGATATCTTGAGTTCAACAACTTATTTTCAGTTGAGCGTTGTCCTACCTATGGACTATTGAATTTGTTGGAGACATTTTGTTCAGATTCTGCATCTGCCCTCAGTAAATTTATCTTTTGTTTTCTTACATTACTCAGTTAGTTCCTATCAGTCTCATAGTCTAATCATATAGTGCAGGCATAACTTGTTCTTAGTCTTGATTCATACAAAAGACTGGTAGGTAAGTTCGTTTACCTCACTACAGAAAGACTTGATCTTGCTTAAAAAATGTAGGTCCTAAATCGATATATGGCAACACCCCAAAATTCCCCCCCACCTTAAGAGCATCTCCAACGCCTACACTAAGTTACATCAAATTTGACATAGAAATGGAATATTCCAGGAATATACTTGCAATGATACTTTACCAACAACTTGTAGACCAAATTTTAACACCAAGGTTTTTTAAACCAAACTAATTTATATTTACACAATAACTTAATGAAACTAAACTAAATTATTTTCATCAAAGTGTTTATTTAATTTAAAAAAATAAATACCAAAGATTTGCTGTAACTTTTTTTTAATTTGGAAATCTTTTGCATTTTTGTTTCATTGTAATATTTTAGCTTTGTTGCGTTTCATATTGTGAACTGAATACATATGAAGCAAATATTTTGTGAACCAAATATATGTTCATCAATACATTAAATGCTAGCCTTAGATGGGAAAAAATCATGTGACACAATACCTTAAGGTAAAAGTTCTCACGGTTGTCACAATATATGGAGTTCTCATTTGATTACTCCCCTATGTATATACATCAATGTTAAAGTTTCTTTTACTTTTAAGTTTATGTGTCTTTTACTTTATATTCAGTTTTAAATTAATTTAGAAAAAAAAATCAATTATAACACTTATTAGTAACAATGATAAATGAATATTAAAGTAAATCAAATATCATATTCAATTATGAACTTGTTTCAAAGGTCTCAATGAGATTTTGTAATCATGAAGTTTGTTTGAATTAGTATTTTTACTTTTGCTGGTTAAATATTCAATAAATTATGTGAATTGATCAAAATATAAATTGAACAACCAAAAGGATTAAAATGAAAATTATAAAGTTTTAGTGTGTAACGAATTACTCCAAATATGTGTAATTTGGCAAGTTGCCATTCATGACATTATAAATTACACTAGATTTGATGTCTTGGTTGGAGAAACATTTTTATATAATAACACCAAATCGGTGTTTTAGTGTAAACCTTGGAGATGGCCTGAGCACTAATTCAGACTCTTGCATGTTTGGAAGTTTACCACAGGCACGCTCTAGTGTTTTCTTCTACTTCATAATTGCAATAAAAAACATGACCAAGGGAGAGTATCCTAACAACAGAAGATTTGTCACTGTTTATCTTCTTTTTCTGGGCATCTCACCAATTTCATGGTTGTCAGAGATACAAAGTCTTGAATAAAGACCTTTGACATAAGAAATATAGGGCCATTCTATACTGATACACATGTTTTAAGATCATTAAAGTACTTTCTTTGTGAAGGATATGAAAGTAGACAATGCCCTATACCTACCTCTCAAAAGTTATAGCGCCACAACCTATTCAACTTGCTATAATCCCATTTTTCATGCTAGACAAAACACTTTGATTTTGATCGCTTTTTTGTGTATGAAAAGGTTCAAGGAGTAGTTACCCCACTATGTTAAGGAGACAGGTTATATGATAGTTGAGGAATGCATCTTCTAATTTTCTCTATTTTCTGATAGTTAATTTGATTGTTCGTGATTTTACACGTACACCAGTTTATTCACACAAGCATGTATATGTATAACATGTATAGAAGAAAATCTTGACACTTAAGGATTGTTGCAGAACCCTTCCAAGACTATATGTGACCTATTGAACAGTTTGACACCATCTTTAGGCTGAAAAAAGACTTGGGCACAAAAAGAAAACCTTGAAACCTAAGAATGGTTGCTAGAGATTGTTGTCATCCATGTCAAGTATGTTCTTGGTGTCCATATGAATGTACAAACCTTTTACCCTCTAAAAGCAAGAAGCTAACACTTTTTGTGAAGCCCGTGGTTGTTTTTATACATGAAGTCTCATAACTTGTTTTTGACGATGATTTCAGCAAAAAAGGTAATTAACTAACAACCACATAAAAGTACAGTGTTCGTACGCTCAACACATTGTATTTGCTGCCTACTGTAGATGTTGGTCATAACAAAGTTTTAAAAAGCAGAATCGGGCCTTGTGGCTTTTTCTCTCAATGAGGCGAGGCATAAGCCTCAAGGAGGTCGGAGGCGTAAGCCCCGACACGGATACACACACACACACAACATCTTCAGTATCAAATCCGTATTTATAGTTACATTGCAAGTGGTAGTGACAATTACAGTAACAATTACGTTTCTGATTCCATTTGTGGTGAAAGGCGAAATATATACAAAGTGGGAGACTGGAGAAGAAATATATTACATATACATTTATGATTTATCTACCATATACTCTTCAAAATGGGAGATTGGAGAAGCAGGAAAAAAAAAAAAAAAATATATATATATATATATATATATATATATATATAGACTTGGGATCATGTGAGACCAAGTGTTTTTCATGAGACCCGTAAGACCAATTCTCAGGGTTAGATTAGATCTACAATCGTCAGATCTGAACTTTCATAAATGCCACGAGACTCCTCAATAATTACAAAATTGCGACCATGCAATTTAGACCATTAGATCATTAACTTATAAAGTTGATYAATGAACATAAATTGGTCTTA